GGAACATCTAACCGATATATCATTTGTGAGCTTTAAATTTTTTCTTACTGTCAGGAACACTTTTATGTCTTTAAGATTTATTTAAACTAGTTTATTACATAATGAAGCTTGTCAGATCATAGGAACAAAGTCAAACAAGATGTGCTATATCAAAGTATAACATTTAACATATAGATTTAAGTATACATATCAAGTACAATGCAATCAAGCAAAGTTTAATCTGAAAATGCAAATGTTTCAGATTATTAAAGCCACATCTGTCCTTTGAAGCACAATTTAGGCTGTTTATCAAAAAGCTATGTGTAATTATTCTCTCCTACCCTAGACTTTGTAACAACAGATTTCTTTTCTTAAGAACTTTTCAATTTCACTTTAGAGTTGGGGTTTTAAAGACTTAACCACCAAAGAATATAAGATCACAAATGGAAAATTAAAAATCTTTACAATGTGTCCTATTATAATTGCAATGTTTTGTTGTTGGTAAATTGGGATAATATTTCAAAAGGCACTTCTCCAGGGTTTAAGAAAAATTCTAAATGCTTTTGGAAATCAATTCAATGTAGTCCTGGCTTCAAAAATGTGTGCATAAACACATTATTAAAATTTTTCAATATAAAGTTTTATAATACATTTGGCTTTCTCTGCCTTGGCCAACAGAAACCATCAAAAGCAGCAGTTTAGCTGGTAAAGAGTGACTACGAAGCCTTAGGAGAAACTAGGACAGAGCTTTGAGTTCTAAGTCCCCGAAGTTCTCAACTCTTAAATTTATGTATGTATAAAAGAGGCTCTATTGTATTCTCTACATGCACCCACCTAACATATATACATGTATATATAAACTAGAAAAGATACATAAACCATCCTCAGTACTATTATTACGTTTGAACATCTGGGAATGAAATGGGTTGTTGCAACATTATCCTAGAACAGACCTCGTTTCTGTGTAAAGCTATGATCTGTTATTGCACACTTAAGAACTGGAAATGACATAGACGCTTTGGGCGCTCATCTGCAAAATCTACTGAAAGATGAGAGCTCATTTTATCTTAGATTATAAAGGCTCACATGTATGGTAGTCTTGTTATAAAAAAGCAGTAGTTTTTAAAATTAACTGGAGTCTCTGATCCCTACTGTAGCAAAGTTTAAAAATTAAATGTGTATCTTGAAGTTTGTGAGCTCGGCACTCAGGCGGTGGAGATCCACTGCTTGTGACTAGAGATCATGAAGGCTCCTTCTACAGGCGTAGCTAGTTGCAATCACAGCACAAACTCTGCTTATGCAAAACCTAGAACTCAAAGATTGCCAAAACTGGAAACTCTATACATCACCTCCTCAGTATTCAGGGTTTAATTTTATAAGTTATAATCTGGCTTCAGGCATCAACAGGGGACAGAGGGAAAGGGGTAGCTTACAGGAGCTTCTGCTTCACCTGTTACATTTTTAAAAAAATGTATTTACTAGTACCTCTGTGACTCCACAAGCAAAGGAAACAAACACCAGATGATTGTGCTCATGTTCTTTTGAAGAAGACCTCCGGGTCAGGAGTCAGCTTGAAAGGTTAAAGGGAACACGTAATTCTGTAATATCATAAACTCTGTCATAATCTATCCGGAAAAGAAGAAGACTGCTGACAAACGTCATAGAGAGGAGTGCTTTATTTCCTTTTCTCTAAACGACTGCGAGATTGAGGATTTTTTCTGAAACCTGAATGTGAAGTCTTCAAACTCATGAAGGGCTGCTAATGATACACAATCGAGTTTCAACATAAGAAACAGTTAGTATGCTGAAGAGCTTAAGTCATAAAACCCTGTTAGATACTGGCGATGGTCTAGAGCTGCTGCAGGTAACATGCGGTCGGGGAGACATCCTAAAGAGAGGTGGCCGCCGCCTGAGTTAACCTACATTTCAGTAGTGACTGCTCTTTTTACTTCCCTTCCATTTTACAAATGCCCAGAGGCATTTCTGCTGTGGAACATCTTGCAAATTCTAAAAATAAAGTAATAAAGTTTGATTCCTCAACTTTCACAATATTTTGACAGATTCTTCCAACTTTAATTTCCTTTTTGTAATGGTAGTATGATTTGCATTATGTTACATTGCTTGATTTTACCATAAAAAAGTTCATCTCTAGAGAACTGCTCTGAAATTACGCACCACTTTAAGAGACCTCCCCTCAGAAATGAATAAAAATAAATCTCTCATTGTAATCTTACAGCATCGTGGTTAGCGGGATCTCACTGTAGACCTGTATTTGAAGCCAGGTTTGAATTTTCTTAAAGAAATTTTGAACGACAGTCCCATAACAGGTTCTTATTTCCCCCCCAAAATCATTTACATAAAGGAAAGGACCAGAACTGATTTATTTAAAATTTGGAGAAGTTACAAAACCAAAAAAATCACATTCAGTGTTGCTGGATTCCCTCACACAGAGAGATAGTGTCCTTTTTTGGTCGGGGGGGAAGGGGTGAGAGTCTTTAAAAAAGCAGCTCTGGCACATGGAAGGCAAAGTGGCAAGCACAATTATGGTGAAACGTGCTCTGCGACAAAATCTGCTCCCGAAACACTGCCTTGCTAGGAAATCAGCAGAGCAGGGGTACTACTGGAGAAACCTCTTGAAAGGAAGGAATTTGGCCTTTTATGAAACAAAAACAAAAACACACACAAAAAACAATATTCCTAATGTGCCTTTTATCCACAAATAAAGCGCATTTATTCTGAACGTTTTTGTGATGTGAATTGACAGATGTGTATCCGTCAAGACAGACAGTAAGAGACACTGAAGCAGGAGTGGAGAGGGCCAGGCTAGAAGCAGAGTGTTGAAAATGATGTTAACAGACCCGAAAGGGAGAGAGAAGGGAATGTGATACTGGCAGGCTATAAAATGTCACTCAGGAAAATAAGACCGATGTTCAACAGGATAAGAAAGCAGCCTGGAACATCAAATTTCTTATCATTATTCTTCCCTCACTAGGTACATAAGCCCATGCTTCCATCACCCCTACACCTTCTCTGCTACCTAAGCAAGAAGTGTAATCACTTTTCTTCCCCAGGCTCATCATCACTGAACTTATTCCTCTGATCGAAGGGAGATCTCTGCCACCGTGGTGCAACAGACATCGGAGCCAAGCACAGCCCCACTGTACAACGTGAATGAGCACTACTGAGCCATCCTCCTCCATGGCCGACACCTACTAGAGCTTTCTTGCCTATAAAAATTCCCCACGAGGATGCCATGACTACTGGCTAGAGCACGCTTCACCGATGAGAAGTGACAAACTAGAGCACTACTTTTGCTGCTGAATTTTAATTTCCAAAATACAAATGCCGCAGTAATTTATGTAACTGTAACTCATCAAAGGCCATACATATTTTTTTCAATTCATGTTTTTAAATAGTCAACTTTCAATTATCTTCAAAGGATCAGATGCCCTGCAGTTTATTTCTGACAAATCATCCGTTTTATTGTTTCTGACGTTGTTACCAACTCTGCTTAATTAAACGTTTATTTACATAAAGGGGATATTTCCTTAATCTAACCCAGGATTTTAGGAGGGAGAAATGCTTCAGGAATAAAAACAATTTCCCTTGCACATATGAACAAGCAAATAGTACTTCTGCATGAATGCTGACTTCCAGAATGAAGTAGAAGTGGTGATAAAATTGACTGGAAGGACGGTATAGAAAAAGTAGGCAGTGTTTCCAGCCTTTCATGAGACACGTATCAACCGTGTGGTTACTGTGTCTGAGTTCTGGGGAATTTTCAGATTAGAGATGCTCTCCAAGATAAAACACCCCTGCCAAAGCTAAATAGAAAGGCTTTTGAAAAGTTTCATCCAACTAAACAGCACAAGAAAATGGAAGAGTGGAACAGAGTAGCTATCTTGCTAGCCCATCATTTTGAAAAGCAGTGGAGTGCATGTATACAGATTTGAAAAAGGGATATACATAGTCCATTACTTGTTTGCTTCAAAGTCATCAGACTTTAGTTAACATACACACACACGTGCGCACACGCTGAACCAAACAAGACTCCCAATTGACAAGATGAAACAGTGAGAAGTGGCTCAAGATTCTTATTCACAGTTGCATAACAAGCTCCTTGATCTGCAATATGCTTGGCAGCAACAGCAAGAACAGATATTGTGCAAGTTACAAATTAACTAGAACGTCATTAACCAGTGCTAAGAAGACAGGGCCTGGTGTTGTCTCAGTAAATTGGCTTCTTGAGGAAAAATTTTTTCCTAGCTATGCCTTTGCCCATAATGCCCCAATGAATATAGCCACAATCACATTATCACTTCTCTTCTAAAGAATATCAATCGGTTATACTCAGGGTTTAAAAAAAAAAAAAAAATCAACCACTACACCACATCAATGCTACCCACTGGCTAGAGACCTAGTTCAGTTCCTTTGAAAGCTTCTGGAAAAATAAATTTCTCAATTGATTTCATAAAAGGCTATTACTGAAACCAGACTGAGGATTTCCATGTCTAGCCTTGTATGTACTCTGGTCACTGATAACGTGACTATCTCCTCTACGATCAGGAGACAAGGACAGGGTTTTAAAGGATGATACCTCTTTATTCTTTGCTTTCCTAGCCACAAGGAATACTAACTTCAAGAACTTCTTAAGGACTTCTCACTTATGCATTCTCCTTTTTCTTTTTCTAGTAGCATTATTAGGGTTTCCACTTAGTGTAAAATGTTTTATGGGTCACCCATTGTATTAATCACACTTGCTTCAACGTCCTCTCCAGTATTTGACAAAGATGTTGAAATGAGAAATAACACCATGCAACAATTAAAGGAATCCTATTCAAGATCTGATTGCTAGCCAAATTTGAAAATAGGAATTGTTTACTTACTTTTGTATTGCATTTAAACATTTTAATGCATGTTTTTACATATTAAGAATATAACTATACATGTTGGCATACAATTTCATAAAAGATGGTTGTTTAACTATAGCCTTATCTATGAATGTTACATGTCTACTACAGACAGAATAACAAGTACTTGAGTGTTATTATAATCAGATACTTGTTTAGTTTGTTAAAAAATAAGAGCTTTATTTTGTCTGGTTAATGTAATTTTACCAAAGACCAGTCATTTAAAATATTTTGACATTAGCCATTGAAATGGAAGACGCTTTTTATTAATTATAATGACAGCAGTACATATTATTAAGACACAAAAGGTAAACAAATGTAACCAACTGGGTAATAGGCAGCTACCAAATTAAAGTTAATAGCTAACACATCTATGGCTCATATTCTCTAGCTGAAGATGAGAAAATGCCTTAGGTTTTATTAATCTGCGTTCTGGGGAGGTTCCTTTCATTTTGTATTTTACATGATTTCACAGATATTAAAGATTTCATTAGATGAAGCTGATCTTCAGCCAGTTTCTAACTTTTCAGAATTTATTTCTGGACATAGAGTCTTTGCTTTAAATATGGGCAGCAGTTGTCTCTATAACATACCACTCTGCTCCCATGATCAACACAAATAATCCCATAAAGATGTGGCTGAATGCGCCAAGGCCAGAAAGCACTACCGTTACTTGTCTGCAGAGCACCGTGCAACTTCCCTGGAAGTCAGGTCAATCAAATGTTTCAATACCTATCTGTCTAATCCTCAGAGCTCTGGGGCATGCACTATACATGATTTCCCTCTTAGTTACTGTGGATCCTTCCTTCCATGCCTCTTCAGATATTTAGAAGGGCGAGGAGAAAAAGCAAAGCATCCTTAATTAGAGCATTCAAAATGATACCTGACCTTTCACTTGTGTTGACCAAATGGTTTATGCTTTTTTCAATCACTGCCATCTATCATCCTTAATTAGCATCCACCCAATAAAACAGCTCACTTCTGAAGTATATTAATTACTGTTTTACGACTTTGGTTCCTATTATCTTAGCTGTACAGCGACAACTATAAAAAGCGTGGCATTTCCCTGCACAAAGGGGCAATATATGTTATGTGTGATTCATGTAAGTTACATTAATATTTAGAAGAGCGGTCTGGAATAAGCTGTGTGATCTAACTTCATGCCCTAAGGAGTTGTTTCAATTTTCAGCCCTAGAAATAAGTCTTTCTGGTAGACACAAGGGAGCAAAACTTTCTGCTCTGGGAATTTCAAAATCATTCAAGTTATGAGTGGCAAATCCAAACAATAAAGGATGATGCTAGGTTTAGAAGAAATATTCTGTTCTATAAATTTGGTAACCATGGTATGCAGGGGAAATTCCCTTTTGTGTATTTGTGTATAATACAGAGAATTGAGAGTCATTTCACTGTTCGTTTCTAAGTAAATGACTTAATTATTTTCATGATTTGGCTGTGTGGAGTCCTGTAAATAACAGAATTTTCTGTAATATTTACTGAAGATTATTCACCAAGGATTGTTATGAATTTAATATTACAAGATGTTACTAAAAAATCATAAAACATTCTGGTAGCCTTAGGGAAATGAATATAAAAAGAAAGGAAGAAAGAGAGAGAAAGAGAGAGAAAGAAAGAGAGAAAGAGAAAAGAAAAAAGAAAAGAGAAAAGAAGGAAGAATCAGAAAATTTTAAATTACTAAAACTTCTCAGAATTCACAAAATCTATGAAAGGAAGAAATTCTCTTAGAGCCTATGGTTTATTTCCATCACTATACAATCATAATGATAGAAAGAACCTCAGGCCTGTTTCGTGCCTTTGTTTAGGACCATAAGTAAATCCACTGAGCCATGAGAACTTACTCTGGGATGGACAGATGGAAGGAAAGGATGAAGAGAGGATTTTCTAAGGAAGGAGATTCACAGCACTTTGCAAAAGCTCTTCCTAGCGAGTGATACTATAATAAAACTGGCTTGTGCACTTCTCTCACATCGCAACTTAAATCTCTCTCTTGTCCCATCATCAGTGAGCAGAGAGAACGGTTCTTTACTGTCCTCTTTGAGTAGTGAAAAGTATCTTTATTTAGGATGTTCGTTAGTGAGCAGAAGGAATACAGTGTTCAATGGCACTTTAATCAGCATCCAGATTTCACTTATCAAAATATTAAGAGATATAAAATTATTTCTGTAATTTATATAGGGAGACTCGAGGCAAATTTTCAATTTCAAGTAAAGAAAACTTAAGTGAAATAAAATATGGGGGAGCAGAGCATTTTTAAAAACCATGCATGTGGATCTAGTACTTTATGTAAAAGACTAGAGATAGAAATTCTGTTTGCCCATAGGTTATAAATGTAGCAGACCATAATGGTGCAGGCTTCTCTGGTCACTAAGAAAAAAAAAAAAAAATAATGGCTCTCCAGATTCAAAAGGATATTAAATTTAAGTGTAGAACGAACTCGCTTTCTTCCTGAACTAAAATATGGAAAGCTAAAGACAATGTTTTACTGCCCAACTTTTTAAACTCCAAGTGCATGAAGCAGAGGACTAAGTGAAAAATCAGGTTCATAAAAAATGCATAAATGGTATTTAAAAGAGTGCCATAACAAAAGCATTATTTTATGAACTTTTCTTGTCATAAAACACAAATTTAGTCATGTACTGGTTATAAAGTCAGCATAATTTGAATAACATCTAGGCATAATGGCAAGTTATTTTAGAATTTTTTTGTTTCTGTTCATTATAAAGAAAACACACACACACACACACACACACACACACACACACACATACCGCTTCACATTTTCTTTCCTGGTGAAACTCAGATCATTTTGCTTTTACAATTAGTTGGTATCAATTTGAAATTCTTCTTGAAAGCTATCATAACTGCATAACCTTTCCTACACTGCACACAAAACAAAAGCATAATAAAGTCCAGGAAATTTCAGAAAAGAAAGCAGTCCAGTCTTAATGACATGGTGATAGAGTGAATACGTAATTTTTTTTAAAAAGCAAATATGATTCCAAAATTCTGTTATTCCCAGCTTACATGTAGTCACGGTCATACTTCAGCGATGCTATCTCAATGATTCTCATTTATTACCGATATTACTAACAGATAATGCACTCTGAAAATATTCCCTGGAATACTTCCTACTGTTAATTACTATTAAAAAGTAGTCCCCTATCTCACTCTTATCTGGAAGGAATTTTTACATATACCCCTTTCCCCACATTTACCATCTATGATATGTTCTAGTTTATAGTTTCAGGAACTTGAAGCATAGAGCTTTAACAAAAGAAAAAAAAAAGGAAAGAAGAAAATGACACAAGTTTGTAGATTTTTAATTACAAAATATGCTTGACCACAAAGGGATATATGTTCAGAAAATATGCAGAAAAAATATTTTCATTTGTTTAAGCATAAGGAAATATGCATAAGCGGTTGAACCTGATTCATAAGCAACTACAACACAATTGTTGGCAATATTGAACTCAAACTGGAACTAGTAATTACCACAATATGATTTCAGAGAAGGAACTGTTTCCCTAGGAAACATGGCAGGCTCCCACTACTGAAGTTTGGCCAACTAATCAACCTTCTATTCAACATATAGCCTGTGGTTCCTCTTTTGCCTCAGAGCATCTATTTTTGAAGAAAATCATATTGTAACAAACAAGTAATTCTAATTAAAAATGCTAGGAAGAGCTAGGCAGAAATTTAGTTTCTGCCTAACCAGCAAACAGCAGTCCTTGGTTTATATATACTTTGAAATTCTAGGTCCTCAATATTTGCACAAAACTATGGATTTTCATAAATGTTTGAGTTTCAAAAGGACCAACACGATGAAGCGAAAGAGAGAACCAGGAAAATATTGGGAACTGTAGCTAATACAATGATGCCCCCGATTGGCATCCAAAGTTTTAACAAGGAATAAAAAACATTATCCTCTACTTCTGAAAATGCCCTCAAAATAAAGTTCAAAAGCCACTTACTGTACTTACATGCTTACTTTTTTCCTGTAGCTTATATTGTAAATAAAATAATTCCTTCACATGCTTGCATTTTTCAAAAACACAATTATAGCCATTATAAAAAAATCATGTCATTACATAACTTTAAATTTTGTAGTCCCTGTTATAGAAACAGTAATAAGTTGAGGTTACTTAGAACAGTTCCCTTAGTATCTGTAGCCTATCATAGCTTAAGTAAAAAAAAAAAAAAACAAAAAAACAAAACAACATTTGAGCGGATTATGAGAGAACTGTGACACAGAAATAACCAGGATGTTATTTATCATTTCCAGACATGGTATTGGGGGGGAATAAATATGTTTAAGAAAGCATAAAACCTGGAAGATTAATAGTTATTTTATATATTATATATAACATATATATTATTTTATAATACAATAACACATATTATTATATTACAGGCTCTCATATATATATAAAAGAAAAAAGAACTAAGGAATGTAATTTCTGAGCATAAAATTAGAGATGTGCCAGCAGGTACCAATCGCTCATGGTAATCTTCAAATGGCTATGCATCATTAGCTCTGCATCATATAAAGGAGGGTTCCTTTATATCTTGCCAGGGCTCCCAGGTGTCTAAAAGTGCTACTGTATCTTCAGCTTCTAGGGGGCAGTTCTGCAAGCTTCTCTGAACTATCATCCTGCTACTGTTTCACAACCGATCAGAAGACTGAGTTCCACCACAGACAGGAATTTCTAACCTCAAATAGGTTCAGTGTTGTAGATACGGTGATGCTTCTCCAGCTTAGACCCCAAATTTTGGAATCAGGTCATATCTATTGAGTGTAAAATATCCACTGATAGCTCCTAAGGTTCAGAGTTACACACCAGTAAGTTCCAGTAGAACATGGTATCCTTAGTCTCTCTAGCTATATAGCAAATACTAAACAGGCAATAAGATCTTACTATACAGACGACTTCTTCAATGTACTTTTTTTTTCTCATTTAATACGTCCTCATGTCAATAAATATAAAGCAATCTACATTGTCCACGTCATGTGTTATTTGCATAGTTATCCACGGTGGATTTAGCAAAGTCCATGCTCTCCCATGTTTCAGTTGCTTCTAATCTTCCTCCCTCCCTCCTTTCTTTCCTCCTCTCTCCTTTCCTTTCTCTAATGTAAACAATATGTGATGAGCATCCGTATGTTTTCTCTTTTGACTAAGTTACTAGAATTCTTGCTGTATTTCTAGCAAGGTATGCTGGTTTAAAATTCTACTATGAATTGTAGTCAAATAGACATCTGAAAAGATACAACAATTTGTATCATCAAAGTACTCCCTACCCTATACCCATGCACTCTGGTAGAAAAACAGAATTCCAGGGGCGCCTGGGTGGCTCAGGTAGTTAAGTGTCTGCCTCAGGCTCAGGTCATAATCTCAGGGTCCTGGGATTAAGCCCCACATTAGGCTCTGCTCAGCAGAGAGCCTGCTTCTCCCTCTCCCCCACCCCCGCTCGTGCTCTCTCTCGTAACCTCTGTCTCAAATAAAATCTTAAAAAAAAAAAAAGCAGAATTCCATTTTTATTCAAATGTATATTCTTTTTATCAATAATGAGGCTAAAACTCACTTAATATTCTTATTGGTCAGTTGTATTTCTTCTTTTCCTGAATTTGACTCAGTCTTAGTGCCATATACCCACTGCTGAGGAAAAATGTTTTAAATGCATTGTAACTTGAATCATAAAGACTGAAAATATTAGACTAGGAATACTACATGCCTTTTTACATGGTTGGCTTTACATATCCGTGTAGGTGGAGCAGTTAGATATGCCACGTGAACACAGAGGATGCGTTACAAAATCATTCAGCTAGCTTCTAAGAAACAATTTTTGAACATATACTACAGAGTGTAGAGGCACTACAAAGTACTAGTGTGTAGGGGGATGAACGAATAAAGAAGGTATAATTTCCTGACTTGGGTTTATCTTTTCAAGTTACCTAGAAAGGCATTTTTAAAAAATTAATTATGATACTTTATACAGTTAATAGATTTATTACTTAAAATAAATACCCATTCATTCAACAAATACTAGTTGAACATTTACCCAAGACTAAGGGTGAATTAAATGTTGATCTTGCCCTTACATAACTTGCAGTCTAGTGTATGAGGCTCAATAGGACAGACGGAAGTCTAATCCAGGTGAGAAAATATGGTGAGTTAAAGATTCCTGTGCATTGGAAAGGTTCTGTAGAGGGAATAGTACCTGGCCTGCAGCTGACTGATACACATGTCTGTCTGGTGAAAAAAATAAAAGAAAATCAAGAAACAAAATCTCATATTCCTTATGAAATGTTTATAATCGAATCCTAAATATAGAGATGATTAGTATAAAAGACCCCACAAAACCTAAGACTTTTGTCAATTTCTTAAAGAATTTGATCTTTTGTAAAATTTTATACCTAAACATACCCCCTTTATATGCATTTTTCTATATTTAATGATATCACAAATCACCAACAGCTAAGATACCAATATATGTATCAATGGAATAAACAGGGTGGCAAAGAAAAGCTTCCATATTAACAAGAGGTAAACGTGACACAGATTTTTTTTTTTTTTAAGATTTTTATTTATTTGAGAGAGAGAGTGTGTGCGAGCAGGGGGAGGAGCAGAGGGAGAGGGAAAAGCAGACTCCTGGCTGAGCAGAGAGCCAGACCCAGGACCCTGAGATCATGACCTGAGCCTAAGGCAGACGCTTAACCAACTGAGCCACCCAGGCGCTCCATACAGATTTTGTTTTTAATAAACAACTGGAACCAGGAAAATAAGCATTGAAAGCATGACATAATCTCTGAATATATTTCTTAGAAAATTCACCTCCAAATATTTTACCACAGCATCGGAAGGCCCTTAGGGTAGTGCTGGATCCAGAAAGGACTAGGTAACTTTATAGCCCGGGAGAGTGATGGTTTTTCACTCCCCCATGAAGCAAAAGCTCTTAGAAACATGGAGAGAGGTGGAAGAGGGCAGAGTTCCCAGGGGCATAGTTTTATTCGTATTTATATAACTTAGATTGCATACCATTTGCTTCAATTCGCTTTATGTATATGATGTAGTTTAAAGGTGCTCAGGGATTTTCTTTTGTTCAGACTAAAGATGACCTTGGAAGTCAGATAGACCATCATGAGCACCAATCCCGATTCCATTTAGTAGCATGTGATCTTAGGAAATTTACTTTTCCTCTCTGAGCTGCTTTGCCTAATCTACAGCTTTTAAGAGAAAGAGTAAATGAAATACTATACAAAACACTTAGCAGAGTGCCTGGAATAAAGGAAACACTCAATAAGTAGTAGCTATTATTATCAAGAAGTTTCAATATAAGTAAAGAGCTCAACATTAAAATGGCTATCAGGACATCTACGGCTTTTATGGAATTTATAGGCAAAAATGTCAGTTTATAGATTATGCTCTGAGACTGGCTTATTTCGATAGGAAGGATGAATATTTAAGGAATAGGAAACCTGATGCCTTCTTAGGTGTGTTGAGTTTTTATCTGGAGAGAGACTGATTTTCTTTTCTTCCTTCTGTTTAATGTTTTTTTCCCTTTACTCTGCCTCATGTTATCATAGGTAGCATTATTTGATGTAGGAACACTACATCATATTGAGAAACAATCTAACTTAATGTGTAACCTCTCACTGTAAGATAAATGCATGTAAAGGATGGATATACTATGGGAAACAATTTTTACACACGTATCTATTTATTAAATCTCTTTCATTAACAAGTTTTAAAATAGAAGGCTCCTTTGAAAAGATTCCTTTCTTTTAATGATTATCCTTGAATGTGAAGGAACCGCTTGTGAAGTGCCAATCTAGCATAATTAGTTAACAGGACTGGCCGTTGTGTTATTTTTCCATGCTAACGATTTGATTCAGTATGAAGGCGAAATTGGCATGCCAGACATAAGATGGTAAAGTTATTAACACTGGTTAGAAAAAAGGCTTACTATAAAATATTTAAAAATATTTTAGATTATAATTAAATGTTAAATGCTATGCCCCTTTTTACCTTTATAAAGAAAAGTACTAGGTCAGATTTAACATTTGCAATGTGTTGATATTTTTCCAATTACCAATCCTTCTTTTCCAAGTACCAAGGGATGGAACAGATTCAGAAAAAGGTGACTGGCACATAAGATATATACATATTTGACCTGTTTGCTCATTTTTATTTTTATTGTATTATTTATTTTTTAAAGATTTTATTTATTTGTTTGACAGAGAGAGACACAGCAAGAGAGGGAACACAAGCAGGGGGAGTGGGGGAGGGAGAAGCAGGCTTCCTGCTGAGAAGGGGGGGCTCGATCCCAGGATCCTGGGACCATGACCCGAGCCGAAGGCAGAGGCTTAAGGACTGAGCCACCCAGGGGCCCCTGTTTGCTCATTTTTAGATCAGAAAGTTCAAGTTTATAAATAGTTCTTTAAAAGGCTGGCTGCCACTTAGAATTAATGAAACTAAGAAGCAAAATGTGTGACCTAGCCAAGGCGATTCATCCAACATATGGATTTTAAATTTCACTTTGTCTCAAAACTTTTGTGGTGTTAGCAAATGGAACTCATATTGCTACTTACCAATTCCTCATTTTACCCCAAACAATCTTTTGATCTTAACCAACCTCACCATTTGACCACAACTCCAATATTGAGTACTCTTATTACTTATCTGTCCTTTAAAAATCACAAGGGTTAAGAATATGCTGGAAGTGAAGTGATAGAGTTTCATAACTCAGACACTAGAGAGCCTCATCTAACTGAACCACAGCATCAAAAACTAGGGCATAAAAACTATGATGAGAACTCGATTCATTCCAAAATCTGAGCAACTACGTTTATTGTTTAAAGAAACTCCTGCCCGCTTGTCACAAATACAGAGGAACAGAGATCGACTATATGTTTAGGGTTGCTTTCAGGAACACAGTGGAAACCTAGATAAGTGTATCTGCTGAGAAAGTGATCTTTATTTCCCCCACCCTGAGTTTTTTTTCTGAAATGTTTCAGGATAGCTCAAATATCAAATTTTTGGCTTACGGCTTCAATTAAGAGAATTCTCCTTCAGATAAGGTGCTGCAAGAGGCACTGTGATGATTCTAGAGATGAAAGACATCCCTGCAAAATCTCCATACAATTAGGAAGAAAGTTTAATGATACAGATAAATAGAATAGAGGGCAGGCTAGGATAGTGCTTTCATATGTCTCATAAAGTACTAAGAAAGTACAGGGAAGGAAAAGACTTCTTAAGGTAAAAATTGGGTATAAATCAGGGGTTCAGAGTTGCCTGGGTGGCTCAGTCGGTAAAACGACTGAGTCTTGATTTAGGCCCAGGTCATGATCTCAGGGTCCTGGGATCAAGCCCTGGGTCAGAGTCACTGCTCAGCGGGAAGTCTGCTTCTGTCCCCCTTCCTCTGCCCCTCCCACTCGCTCGCGAGCGTTCTCCCTCTCTCTCAAATAAATAAATAAATCCTAAAAAAAAAAAAAAGATTAAAATCAGGGTTTCAGTCAGAACTGCAAACTGATATATATCACTGGGCCATTCCACAAATCAGAACATTAGCTTTGCTGTTTGAATAACAGCTTTTCATCAAAACTAACCATTCCACTGCAATAAAAAACAAACAATATCAAATGAGGGTAAATATATATTCATTTAGACATTTATAGCCCTAGTTTGCTACATTTTGGTTACGTAGAAGACAAAGCCTAACCTACATACAAAAACTGATTCCACTGAATCATAAGTGCACTTTACAAAGCAGTCTTCCTTCCTTCAATTACTAAGAATATTTAAAATCTTTAATGTGAGAAACCATGCATTAAAATCCCGAGAGACGGCTCCATCTTCTCTGGCAAACATCACAATACTAGAACAACACAGCCCCCTCTCAACTTTCAAGTCAAAACTGCATAAACATGGGCCTTTTAGTATTTCTTCACCACCACCAATGTTGGGATACATCAATTTAAGAGTAGAAGTCCCTAAGGCAAGGTAACACCTTTGAATTCTTTTTGGCTCCTTTCATCAAAGATCAAATCTAGAAAGAGTATGAAAACAGCTTCAGTTGACCATCAACATGAATCCAGCACCAAAGGAAATAAGAATACAACTTCAATAGCCAGGATCCATATCCTGCAGGCATTTTAGATAAAAGAACTCCACCTTAGTTGCAACCAAAAGGAGTGGAAAGCCATGGGAAAATCCAAAAAGATTAATGGAATTATTTCCATGTGATCAATAGAACTTGTAACATAACTTACTATCTTTTGTAATATGAAGTTGCAATTTGGCATTTTCATATGAACGTTATTTAAGTGTCTTGCATTCTAAATGCATATACATTGTTCTTTCATATAAGTTGGTCTTGCCCTCTTTGTGGGCAAAGGCTGTGTTTTCATTCATCCTTATGTACTTGTCACAGGTCCTACCACAGAATAAACACTGTGACTTTCTGTTAATGAATTAAATGAATACATAGAATACTGTCAAAATAGACATGTGATCATGACTATGAAAGAGGGGAGGTAGAAACAATAAGTGTTGGTGATTAGAATGTCCTAGACATTCTGAGGTCCTTATTTATGCTTTTTATTTAATTCTAGGTATCCCATGATAAAGCAATAATGATCTTTATCTTACAGATTAATATTTAAGCTCAGAGAGGTTAAGTAACTTCCATAAGCTCACACAGCTAGTAAGTAGTGGAGTCAGTATTTAAATTCTGGTCTGATTCCCAAACCTTTGTAGATACACACTGTAGGCATTGGTGAAAAGGCACTACCTACCTCTTCCTAAAATTTTAAGCCATCTAAAGGCACAGATACATACCAGGTTGCAAACTTCATAGATATAACTTAACACAGCAAAGAAATTATACTATAATCAGCTCACAGCAGTCTCTAAAATGAGAGACTCGTTTGAAAGGCATGCAAGTGACATGAACTGGGTTTCTTTTAGACAAGAACTGAGAACAAGAGAGGATATTTCCTGGTTTCAAACATTCTTTCATGGGAACGTGTGTTTGATTCATAGTTGCTTTGTAAAAATAGCCTTTAATCACTGTAATACTATAATTCTGGAAAAAAATTAAAAATGGCATGGGACTATCGTACATCAAATGTTTTAGAATTAGTGAAAGCATTTTTTTCCCATGAAAATAAATCAACCTCAGTGTATCTCAAAACAAGACAGACTACTTCCCAACTAGAAAATCTAGCATTCCTCCCATCTTTAACACTACTTGTAATGCCAGATATTTTCATTAGCTTAGGCCTAAAATAAGGTTCAGGTAGAGAAAATATAGTTGAACATAGTATCGTAATATGAGTATCCTATACTCATTTTAAATATCTAATATTTAATATTTAAAGATTCAATAAGTTAGATAAGTCAATATTTCATATAGATTTTAGTCTTGTAACCCTAACTTGAGAGAAGCAAGTCAAATGCACTGTCTCCATAATGTAAGAAATATCTACAGTACAGAGATGTTAAAGACTTCTCAAATTTTGCCCTACAAGAAGCAAAAAGGGACTAGAAAGCCAATTTTCCTAAATCCCTGTTCTCTTTCCTTTCAGTTTCTATAAAGCGTTGCTTCCATGTTTGGAGTTTGTTATTCACTTTGTAACATAAAACTACTCTTCTTGAGAATACTTCAACTATTCAG